CTGCAAATATTGCTATGTTGTCTACTAAACTCAAGCTACTGTTAAAGTAGCATGAATATTTCATTACTGAATCAAAAATGTGTGAGTTTTACACAATGAGTTTGTACCTAGATACACTCTGTGCAGGCTATTCAGTACTATGTTGACTTGTTATATGTAAAGTTGAAACATTCTCCGAGCACAAGGATTAGTCCAAAGTTTTGTTAATAATTCATCCTCCGTTCTGTAAAAGGGAATGCTGTAATAGCTAATCAGAAGAAGATCACGCGATGTACTTCCCCCTATATCTATAGCATTGTACTGGTACCGCCCCCTAATATATACAGCACTGTACTGGTGCTGCCCCCTACACGCTATATCACTGTACTGGTGCTGCCCTCTACTCTATATATCACTGTACTGGTGCTGCCCTCTACTCTCTATATCACTGTACTGGTGCTGCGCCCCCTACTCTCTATAACACGGTACTGGTGCTGCCCTCTACTCTCTATAGCACTGTACTGGTGCTGCGCCCCCTACTCTCTATAACACGGTACTGGTGCTGCCCCCTACTATCTATTGCACTGTACTGGTGCTGCCCCATACTCTCTTTAGCACTGTACTGGTGCTGCCCCCTACTCTTTATAGCACTTTTCTGGTGTCGCCCCCTACTCTTTATAGCATTGTACTTGTGCTGCCCCATACTCTCTTTAGCACTGTACTGGTGCTGCCCCCCCCCCCTCCCTCTACTCTATATAGCACTGTACTGGTGCTGCCCCCTACTCTCTATAGCACTGTACTGGTGCTGCCCCCTACTCTTTATAGCACTTTTCTGGTGTCGCCCCCTCCTCTTTATAGCATTGTACTTGTGCTGCCCCATACTCTCTTTAGCCCTGTACTGGTGCTGCCCCCCCCCCTCCCTCTCCTCTATATAGCACTGTACTGGTGCTGCCCCCTACTTTCTATAACACCGTACTGGTGCTGCCCCCTACTCTCTATAGCCCTGTACTGGTGCTGCCCCCTACTCTCTATAGCACTGTTCTGGTGCTGCCCCCTACTATCTATTGCACTGTACTGGAGCTGCCCCCTACTACATATAGCATTGTACTGGTGCTGCCATCTACTCTCTATAGCAATGTACTGGTACTGCCCCTGCTATCTACAGCACTGTACTGGTGCTGCCCTCTACTCTTTATAGCACTTTTCTGGTTTCGCCCCCTACTCTTTATAGCATTGTACTTGTGCTGCCCCATACTCTCTTTAGCACTGTACTGGTGCTGCCTCCTACTCTCTATAGCACTGTTCTGTTGCTGCCTCCTACTATCTATAGCAATGTACTGGTGCTGCCCGTCACTCTCTACAGCACTGTACTGGTGCTGCCTCCTACTCTCTATAGCACTGTTCTGTTGCTGCCCCCTACTATCTATTGCACTGTACTGGAGCTGCCCCCTACTCTCTATAGCACTGTACTGGAGCTGCCCCCCACTCTCTATAACACTGTACTGGTGCTGCCCCCTACTATCTATAGCAATGTACTGGTACTGCCCCTACTATCTACAGCACTGTACTGGTACTGCCCCCTATTCTTTATAGCACTTTACTGGTGTTGCCCCCTACTCTTAATAGCATTGTATTTGTGCTGCCCCATACTCTCTTTAGCACTGTACTGGTGCTGCCTCCTACTCTATATAGCACTGTTCTGTTGCTGCCTCCTACTCTATATAGCGCTATTTGTTGCTGCCTCCTACTCTCTATAGCACTGTACTGGTGCTGCCCCCTACTCTCTATAGCACTGTACTGGTACTGCCTCCTACTCTCTATAGCACTGTACTGGCGCTGCCCCCTACTATCTATAACACTGTACTGGTGCTGCCCCATACTCTCTTTAGCACTGTACTGGTGCTGCCTCCTACACTCTATAGCACTGTTCTGTTGCTGCCTCCTACCCTCTATAGCAATGTACTGGTGCTGCCCGTCACTCTCTATAGCACTGTTCTATTGCTGCCTCCTACTCTCTATAGCACTGTTCTGGTGCTGCGCCCTACTCTCTATAGCACTGTAGTGGTGCTGCCACCTACTCTCTAGAGCACTGTACTGGTACTGCCTCCTACTCTCTATAGCACTGTTCTGGTGCTGCGCCCTACTCTCTATAGCACTGTAGTGGTGCTGCCACCTACTCTCTAGAGCACTGTACTGGTACTGCCTCCTACTCTCTATTGCACTGTACTGGTGCTGCCCCATACTCTCTTTAGCACTGTACTGGTGCTGCCCCCAGCTATCTATAACACTGTACTGGTGCTGCCCCCTACTATCTATTGCACTGTACTGGTGCTGCCCCATACTCTCTTTAGCACTGTACTGGTGCTGCCCCTACTATCTATTGCACTGTGTTGGAGCTGCCCCCTACTCTCTATAACACTGTACTGGTGCTGCTTCCTACTCTCTATAACACTGTACTGGTCCTGCCCCCTACTCTCTATAGCACAGTTCTGGTGCTGCCCCCTACTCTCTATTACACTGTACTGGTGCTGTCCGTCACTCTCTATAGCACTGTACTGGTGCTGTCTCCTACTCTCTATAACTCTGTACTGGTGCTGCCCCCTACTATCTATAACTCTGTACTGGTGCTGCCCCCTACTATCGGTGCTGCCTCCTACTCTATATAGCACTGTTCTGTTGCTGCCACCTACTCTCTATAGCACTGTTCTGGTGCTGCCCCCTACTCTCTATTACACTGTACTGGTGCTGCCTCCTACTCTATATAGCTCTGTTCTGTTGCTGCCTCCTACTCTATATAGCTCTGTTCTGTTGCTGCCTCCTACTCTATATAGCACTGTTCTGTTGCTGCCTCCTACTCTATATAGCACTGTTCTGTTGCTGCCTCCTACTCTATATAGCACTGTTCTGTTGCTGACTCCTACTCTATATAGCGCTATTTGTTGCTGCCTCCTGCTCTCTATAGCACTGTACTGGTGCTGTCTCCTACTCTCTATAACTCTGTACTGGTGCTTCCCCCTACTCTCTATAACACTGTCCTGGTGCTGCCCCCTACTCTCTATAGCACTGTTCTGTTGCTGCCCCCTATTTTCTATATTATGTACGTAACGCTTGCTTATTTTTCATGTAGTTCACAGCTATTTTGGAAACTTTTTTTTTTTACTTCTGTTTAGTATTTTTAAAATACCATTATTTATCAATAACTGATTTTTTTATTTTTTTTTGTTAATCTCATTAATTTTTATTGAATTTCAAAATGATCCCCAATGTAAAACAAAAGTAATCTAGGAGACACCAAAATACATGGTATCATAAATCCACCCAAATATCTAATAACCAATGACCATCCACTCTAGTGTTATCTCATTCATCCCTGAAATGTAATAATGAACTATTCCAACCTTTGAATTGGAAGAGTTCAAATGTGTCTCCAGGGGTGAATGAGTTAATAAGTCTCATAGAATTGACAACCTGGCAAAATTTTATATGCAATATTTCATAATTTGCTACGATTTGTCAAGTCTTAAACGATTTATCAAAATTCATGTCCACAGTTTGTATTAGATTAACTAGTACTGGCTCCAAGCATCAGTTTGCTTTGTTTCCCATTGATCTGTGTACTGAATCTATAAAAGGTCTACAATATTTATCTATTAATCCATTTACATTTGTACATGAAACTATGGTCCATCAGTGGCCTATATGTTTGTGCTGTGGTCAGTTTTGACCACTGTCCACAATGACCCCAGGCCTGAGTCAGTGGACTGAAGGAGATATTTATTTAGATGATTCTGATTCATAGGTAGTATACACTGGTATGGATGAGTTTGCAGTGTGTCATTATAGTACCTACAAAAAAATGTAGGTGGTTTAGAGGTCAATTTTATGACGAGACATGCTGGGTATTTACATGTAAACTAATGGTGTTATTACACCACATGTCTTTTGAAAATGTATACAGGAAACATATTTATGAAGTCAAAAATTGAAGATAGGGATTATTTTTATAGTGTTTGTCTCATGTACTGTAGAATTGGCATTGTTTTCATCCTTGTGTCATTGTCATTGACTTTTTATTAAAGGTTTTATCAAATTATCCCAAAAAACATTTTTTCAGGAAATAGCAGTTTTCATTTTATACCTTTTCCCATTTTGAATAAATGTTTTGAATGTACAAAATGCAGGAAATACCAGATGTGCAAATGAAAAATATCAGGAATTGTGTACATATTATATCATACAAAACAGGTATCCAAAATTTCACACAAGTACATTATACAAAGATATATAATTAATAGAATCAGTTATTAATTCAAGAAATTTGCATAATATGACAGATCCATATCACAACTGACACGCTTTAGAGTGGCTTATGTTAGCTAGATAGGGCACTATATCAAATGTTGTATATTATTATTATTATTATTATCTAAAGTTAAAGTCCAAGTTTCACATGTCAGAATACCAGAAGAAAGCCATGGCAACAGGCTAATAGGCAAACTATCAGATTTCAGCAGTAATTTTTACATTCATGGTCATGCTAATATCAGGTGTCTGTAGCCCAGGGATAATGATAAAAATAACAGCCAGACAAGCTATTTTATTCCAAACCTCTTGAATATACCATTCCATATTCAATATGTAGCTCAAGGTTGGGAGTGAAATAGCTTGTCTGCCTGTTATTTTTACATGTCAGCTATTTTTGTCCCAAAATAGCCTATAAACCATTGAAATTAACGTCAGGTGGTATTGTTATATATATCAACTCTGAACTCATCCTCAGCCTATGTAAAGCATACCGTTTTCCTTAAACAACTTCAGCACATGAACAATTTTCCAATAATGTTGAGGTCAAGTAAATATAAATACAACTTCATTACTGGACAATTAAGTATAAAACAGACTGACCTGTCCCCTACATCCCTGCTCAGTGCTAAATAATTTACCTCGACCAATTTCCTAGATTGTTTTATGATCAACAAAGATAGACATTATAGTAAATAGTAGTAAATAAATATATTTACCTCACTCCTCTCCGTACGCTGTCAAACATGAGGAAAGCCCGACTGGGACGTGGGACCTTGGGAATTTTGGGGGACTTTCTTGAGCTGCCCCCTAAACTTGTCCGTGAGGCCTGAGGGGACTTGGCCCAACCCCGTCCTCTCAGCGTCTCCCCGAGGACTGGGGTGGAGCCCGATGGGGAGCCCAGACTCGGGGCTGAGCGTGTCGACATCCCGCCAAAGGACTGGCTCCGGTATACACTAGCTCCCTTGCTAGAGGGAGGTAACTCTAAGGTTGGACCCCGTGGGACCTGTATATTGTTGTTAATGTTCTCCAAGAGGACATGATTTTCTGTTTGGTAAGGGTCCTTCCTGGTCATGGAGAAGGGATCTACAACACACAAGTCAAAACAGTTATATTACTATGGCTTGTGGAACAGGAAGTAACGTCATGTTTTACATCATGCTGAGATATCTGCAAAAAAAATAACATTTAACATATGACAACTCATGAGAACTAGTTATTACAATTCAACCATACTGATTAATGAAACAACAAAATCCCTGTTTTATCACTCATTACATGATATCAATACTTTAGCCTCGTGCTACCACACCTGTATCACAGGTATCACACCTGGCACACTTGATATAGCTAGATAATACTGCTCTAGTTCTCTGGTGTCCAATGAATGCCTTTTCCCACTACCAACAGCCACTGCAGCATGAACTTGTCGAAATGTCAATCATTCTTTTTCTCTCTTTTGTGTTACCATGGAAACAAGACATGCCAGCTAGCCAGTATTATGTGCATGTGTAGGTATGTCCTATTGATTCATCTTCATTTTTCCTGGCATTTCTGGAAACCTGACAAATATCATAACCCAGGAAATCATCACTTTCTTACTTAATTAATAGGATTATACAAGTCAATTCCACCCAAGGAAACAACCTTCAGTAGCAAAATAAGTTGTGTAGATCTGGGAGGAGCTGTGGTATATAGCCAGGATACTACAGATAGTATAGTCAGGCTTCCAACAGCAAAAGTAAATTAGGAAGAAGCCATTGTCAGTTGTAGGATTTACAACCTGAGTATTATACATAATCTAATTTGCTGGCAGTATAAAACTGTCCAACTGTCATGTTTACCAGACTTCTTTTCTGTTAATATCACATTAATGCTTGTGTCCAGACATAAAACCACACTGATGGATGCTTGACCCCCTGGATACTGACCTCAGCTAAGGTCACTCAGTGTAAGGTCTAGTTCCATTACTGATCAGTGACTGACCTAAGGCCAAAACTCTTCTGTTTTGGGTAACTCTAGACTCTTTACTGACCAGTCACTGACCAGGTATTAGGCCAAATCACTTCTATGGTTATATACTGTCTGATTATTTACTGACCAGATATTAGGCCAAAACACTCCTATGGTTATACTGTCTGACTCTTCACTGACCAGATATTATACTGTCTGACTCTTCACTGACTAGATATTATACTGTCTGATTCTTCACTGACCAGATATTATACTGTCTGATTCTTTACTGACCAGATATTATACTGTCTGACTCTATACTGACAAATCTACAATAACTGTGTGGACTAAACTCTAACAGAGGATCAGTACCTATACTGTTAACACTGTAAAACTTCCAGAGCTAGACAACATCAAAATGGAATTATAATCACTGTATGTATCTGGTATATCTCACAGCAATAAACAACATCAAAGGTAATTATAAATTATAAACAATTATAAATCTCAGAGAAATAATCAGCATTCCAATAAAATTATAAACTTTATTATGAGTTTCACCACCTAGTCACCATCAAGTTATAGTAGGAAACCACGTTGATTTTATATAAATGTGATATCCCTTATATTTTTATTCTTAGTGAATACCAAAGATACAGGCATTAATTCTCAGTGTTAGGAAGGCTGCCTTTATTGGTTCGTGTTTAACAATTATAATTATAATTAATAAATTATAATTGACCACACAACTACCTTCTTATAATGAATACATCCGTGTCACAGTTTTGTGTATTATTGTAAAAACAACTTTCCTGATTGGGATCCTTTGATAAATCCAATTATTAAACAGAAATGTACACACATATACTATTTAATTAGTTATATTACTTAATAGAATAAGTATCCTCTTAAATCAGTATAACAAAAAGCGACCCAGGGATCTAGCCGAGTACAAATGTACTCAAAGTATATGTTTTAATCATATTACAGAGCACATGGTAATCAAACAGATTAAGTTACAGCTGAGTTTGTACAAGTAATCAATGGTATCTATATATATGTGTAATGGTACCTAGGTTATATTATTGGAATCCTCTGGTCTATACATTTGATAGCTACAATGTATTTTACAGAAACATTGATGATAATATAAACCCGACATATTTCATAAACCTGTAAAAGTACAATATTACTGTAACAGTATATGTCATAACAATACACAGAACTTACCGTAGGTTAGAATAGACAACATATGATTAAACAACTGATTACAGATATTACACAGATATCCTCCACAGAGAAACTTTTCACAGGAAATGATCACAAACACCACATGTAAATACTTGGAATTCATCGGTATAATCAGCGCGTAGTTGTACACAATGCAATACCCCTACCTTGTGAAATTGATCATCAGGAGATAAGGGTTAGTCATCTGTGTGTAGAAAAATTCAATACTCGATAAATCGTGAATTGTCTGCCATTCCCTTCCATGGTGTTACCAAGCCCCGCCCAATGATTAACTCTTGTGTAATATATAAAACGGACTAATACAGGAAAACATATACCGTTGCCAGCTCAGGGAGGGAACAGTGTAAATACCATCAGACTAAATACATCAACAGTGAGCACACGTGTTGTGTGTACATGTGTGGTATAAATACCACAACACACTATATACCTACCACTGAATGGTGGTCATCCATTTGTTTTTGTCTGTTTCAGCAGGTGCTTCCTGATAATGAGGAACTTACATTGTAGTAGTACACTACCCTATACATCAAAACATAGACGGCGTGGAACACTGAATGAAACACTCCCGTGTGTGATCACTGCACATGTACTCGCAGAATTTAAAATCCAACCACAGAAATTCACATAATGAACTGTCCTCACTCTGGGAGATTAACTTATAGCTGTGGGCAGCAGAGAAGGACAGATTTAAGAGGTTGTTTTTGGTTGTAATGTTTACATCCTCATGTCTCATCATCACTGTACAACAGGGCTGACCTCCCCTTCAGTATTGATCAAGCTGCTCTGTACAACCTATCTCTCCTAGCTCCAACCCCACAATGGCCTGCCTTTATTATGCATATTTGAACTTTGTATAAATACATAATTATATGCTAATTAGGTTTATTAAATAATTCAAATTCCATTTCTAAAAGACATTTCCACATTTGACATTTAAGCATGTACTAGATACACAGCGTAGATTTTTGTTGTTGATGTCCTATTCAGATACATTGAGCACTATGAATTGATTATATATGCAAGCAGAAATATATTTCAATTTCAATTTTTAAAATGCGTCCAAGCTATTTTGAACTTTTATCCTAATTTCATCATCCATGTATCTTCGTGTGATTATTTATGTGAAACAAAAATGTCCTTGTCGTTTAAGTAAAGATAAAGGTAAGCAGATACGTCAGGTAAAAACATTACAGGTAAAAACACTACCTTGTATGCTAATTAATCAGACCTGATTGTGCATACAGCTCGGCATGAATCTGCCCAACATAAAAATTAACTGACAGAAGGACGCCTCTAGGGAAATACTGTGTATACCTTAAACGTGTGTTTTCCTTTCTCCCACCATTTAAAAATCAGCTGTATTTGGACATTTGAAAGTTGTAAATAGCAAAGAGTGTACAATTTGTGTGTGTACCTGTGTAGACATATTGTACCTCTGGTGTAGATGTTGGGAACGAGAATGCAGAGTTTTCATTCCCCCTTATAGAGGGGAACCTTATAAAGGGGGAATTGTACACTCTTTGCTATTTACAACTTTCAAATGTCCAAATACAGCTGATTTTTAAATGGTTTTAACTTAAATAAAATTCACTGAAGAACATGCAGGTTTTCGTTTGAAATGTAAGCTGTATAATTATTATAGGAAATCTTATTAGAAGAAACACAAGCGTTTGTATTTTTAGATTTAAAGAACTCATTGTTTCATATTACTGATGTAAAACTAACAATCAATACATCAAAATCTCACCTTTCTGTATCCAATTATATGTATCATCCACATTTATCACAATAAATGATAATAATAGGAAGCTTTCTAACAATAAAATACTAGAATTTTATGAAACAACACGTACAGGCCCCAGTGATGTCCCACAGTACAGGGTGACAACAGTATACTGTAAAGGACAGGCAGAGATCAACACGTACAGGCCCCAGTGATGTCCCACAGTACAGGGGGACAACAGTATACTGTAAAGGACAGGTAGAGATCAACACGTACAGGCCCCCCGCGATGTCCCATCGTACAGGGTGACAACAGTATACTGTAAAGGACAGGTAGAGATCAACACGTACAGGCCCAAGTGATGTCCCACAGTACAGGGTGACAACAGTATACTGTAAAGGACAGGTAGAAATCAGATTATGTTGGTAATCAACGTGTTCTCTGTAAATATTTGAACGTAAAGACAATAACTAATGTTATCTATTGATCCCGTGGTTTTAGATGTAACAGTCTAACACTGTTTGCCAGCCGTTAAGGTGTGGATCAGGTGGGGATCCAGAGGTGTGTCCTTGTACTGTCAGAAATATGACACATATCGTAAACAAAGGTATCTCAATTCAGTAAACAAACTTATCTCATTTTAATCCACTCAACATTCATTTCATCCTGGATATTGTGTACAATATAGCACAGGATCATGGGCGATTCATTACCTTACATGTTGCACCAGGTTTATGATTCAATACTTACCTGTCCTGTCTGCCCAGGTGAGATTAGTGACAGACAAGGTATCTAGAGAAGCTGGTCATTGGGCGTTAGTATTTAGATATCTATTTGATGAGTATAGAAAAGGCTTTATTATCCAGACAACATCTTGGTTCAGTTCATATCATACAATATTTTTTTAAAGATTTTTCTGAATTCAAATATCTAACTCTTACATAGTTCAATAGTTATTTTCATCAGAGAAATTCAAATAGGTATCTTGTCGTAATTCCTACATAAAATACGATCTGACCTTCAACCTTCAATGCAACCTCAAGTTAAATCAATTATCGTTAGTCATCAGCTACAATCACATTAAGACCAGTGCCAAAGTCTATGGTTGGAATAATGATTCAATCTTTAGTAACTAAAACACTTGAAATGAACCAACAAAAACATACTTGTAGACCAGTTAGTGACTTGTGTTAGGAGGGGAAACATTTCTCGTAGAGTTTAAATGATACACTTGTGGATGGGAGGAGTATATCGGTAAGTGGGTGACTTGTCCCTGTTATGGTAGAGTGCGAAAATCTTAACTCTCAAGTATTCCGTGACATATAAGCTCCAATATTATCAATTAAAACATTAAACTTGTTGTACTGAACTTCAGCGCTAATCTACAAATGTCTACGCCACTTTCAGCAAGTATACCCACTCCTGGCAGCATGATTCATATCAGTGTTTTTATAATTAATATATGGTTGGTGGGTTCTAAAATTGTCAGAGTAAATGTAGGTAAAGGGGGTCANACATCGTCTAATGTCTTTTTCTAAACTGTTTTATCAGGTTGGTAAGTACGATATTTACACTGTGTCCTACGTATGCACACAAAGGTGAAACAACATATATCAACAACGCTTCACTGCTATGGGTGTCTCCCAGTGTGGCCAATTTGTGCATGGAACATCTGAAGCAAGAAGCAATATCCACTGCCCCCATAGAATCCAAGCCTATCTTATGGAAACGATATGTTGACGCAATATTTCAGATAAGGGTTCACAGAAGAATTTGATCACACATATTAACACCATAGATGCTACTAACAATATCTTTAACCCCCCACCCCACATTAGCTGCTGTAGCTTAGAAGATTAAAATATATAGCTTCCATTAGTTTATACCTACATCCCACACTTTACCTGTTATAGACCTGAGCAGTGTTACAGTAATATATGTAAATACAAGTATTACCTTCAGGACATAATGAAGTCTTTGTTCCAAAGGAATGTATTTACCTGATTCAGACAACAAAAATTACACTCAGATATATGATGTATATAAACTGACCTTTCTCTATCATCTACACTTTATAGAGCTTTGACAAGCTTTTACAATGGAAGACAAAATTTATATCACAGATTGTAAATTATCAGAGAACCTCATTATATATCATGGATTAAATACCTATCATCAATTATTATGGAAGTACCGGGTATGATGATGTTTGAAACATGAGGCAGATACAAACAGATCCACTGACACTAATACATGTGAAATCTAACCCTGTAGATGATATTCCTCATGGTATATTGATATTTTTACCATTACACACTGTAAATATACATTGATACCGATAAATTTGATCAATAATTAATGTAGGCTGATGAATTAAATATTTATGGCTGATTTTTCATACTGGAATATATATATATAACTGACTGATTGTCCATTTCACGATATTAAATCTACATTAAACATTTCTATATTTCCAATATAAACAGGACCATGTTTCATAAAAACATTTTTTAACTTAAGGAAACTCCAATTATGTTCCATGGCATAGAAAAACATTATTAGGGCCCCGTAGTATTCACTCTATTAATTACACTACGGGTATCACACATAACGCAAAGACAGGTTTGGGACAAAGAATACCATGGTAATTTATTACCGCCGCTTACACAATTAACAAACACGATTGCCAAATGATTATTAGATAAGGTTACACAATGACCTTGACCCAAGGTGTGCAAACCAAGTTCAAGGTCATGCGATAACCTTGATACATGCCTTACATGTTAATTATGTAATGTTACGCAATATATTACAAAAAGATTTCCATGGTTCTCCAACTAGCTACTAACTATATGCTATTACAAATGTAAACACAATTTAGAACAATGGGAGGGTGGAAGGGAGACAAAATGCCAGGGCTGTGTGTGGCGAGTGCTGCAACACGTCTGCTAGCGACCATGTAAATTTCTGGAGTGATGCTTTTGAAAAATAGCAGCTATCTTGAAAAGGAGGCTGACCACTGGTCAGTGCTCGCTGATTGGCTGCCTGAGACAAACATATAAGTAGTAGCCCTCCTGCAGTAAGACTAAAGGGGGACCGAATGCATTTACTGGGTAAGATAGAAACCTTCCCAATGCCTGGCAGATGACTCCCTCCTCCCTGAATTAATACACTATTAAATCTTAATATTCAAA